ATCTTGAATATTTTATTTAGATCTATAGAATCTTTAAAGAATCTGAATGCAGAGAATTAATTCCAAGTAGAAAATAAAAACACCACATCCCTAAACAAGCCACTTATGCAAGCAACCACCTCAGAACACGGTGGAGAGCAAGGGCCAGAAGTGTATAAAAGCTGGAAGGCAGTAAGGCTGTGAAATGCCATTTTTTTAGACTATATGCATGAACTCACAACTGTAGTTACCTGCACTGGACACATACAAGACCCGACTCATCATCAATCAGTCAAGAAAGACAGAGAGCCTGCCTGCGCTTTACCTGCTGATCCCAATAGGTCCAGTGGATCCTTATAGACCCACTGTCACATACACAGTTCTCGTTAATCTCAATGAGTTACAAACAAAACAAAGAGACACCATATTTGAAAGATATTTGTAGGGAGGATTTGTGGAGAGGTGTGGTAAGGAGGTGTGGGTGACAGTAGTCAGGATGTGACATACAAGTGAAAGTGTAAAACAATAATCATAAAAAACATTCTTAATTCCAGTTTCTATATTCTATTCATTTTTGGAAATATCCACTTGCTTATAATTACTATAACTTAAGATCAACTCTATACACTATTAGAACCATGAAAAGAAATATAAGAAAACCTTTTTAATATAAGGGGAAAGGCAATGAATGCAGCTGTGTCCATGCATTCAACAGATTAAACATAAACATTACAAACACTACTACTTTGAACTTGGTTGCAGAGAGTACTTCCTGGAAATCTACTTTTCAATGAAAGAATTCAATTCCTACCACTTCCACTGTTAGATGGAAAAATTCCACAAAATAGTCTATGAACCTCAACTAAAATTGAAGGCTGGCCAGAAGCTGTTGTCTATGTACATTTGCCCCTCCAGATTTTTTTTCAGGGTTTGTTTGTTTGTTTTTTGAGACAGGGTTTCACTGCAGCTTTGTAGCCTGTTCTGGAACTCGCTCAGTAGACCAAGCTGGCCTGTAACTCACAGAGATACACTTGTCTCTGCCTCTGGAGTGCTGGGATCAAAGGTATGTGTCACCACCATCCAGTGCCCCTCCAGATTTTTAATGTGATCAGGACAGAGACAGTTTGAGACAGATCCTCTTATTGTCACCACATGTTTATTGACCAACAAAATATCTTTTGAATTCATTCATATCTTTGCATCCCCATGCAAAGGGAAATTAGTAATTAGATAAAATCATGAGTAAAATATAACGCTCCAAGAAATATAATTACTTCAGTAAGTTCTGTTTTGTATATGTTTAAATAAAACATCTTCTCAGACGTATCGTCCTGGAACACCCATGGGGTAAATAAAAGCAAGGGGAGGTATGATAATCGCAATAATCATAAACAATTAATAATAACAATTAATAACCAATTAATGTCTAGGAAATGTCAAGTCTGTCCTCTGCCTAACAGTTTAAGGAAAAAGCAAGAAACGAATATTGTGTGTCTAAGCATGGCACAGACCTTAGGTTCTGTGTCTTACGAAAAGAGGGAGTGCTAGATATGATGAACATGGAAATAAAACCCTTTCTCCAGTGACTAATTGGCTTATCTGAGGTGGCAGAATATTGACTATGATGACATGTTTAATACCTTTTAAAGTGTTCACCAGTTTAACCAATAGTCCAGAAAATGAATAGTCTTGTTCATGTGCATCACACCAGGCTTCCTCCTCCATTTCTGCTTTGACTCCAGCTGTGGTACCCACACTATCTGACATATTTCTCTGGGATTTCCATTCAAGCCTGAGTGCTCCTACTAAATAAAACATTTTTACTGGTCACACAAACATCTGTCCCCTTTAGAAGTGCTGGCATATCTGTCTTTCACCCCTGAGGTGCATAATCCTATGTACTATGTTGGAATGTTTTAAAAATCTGTCCACATAATTAAAATAATGCTAATGCAAAATATACTTTGCTCCAAGTTTTGCACTAAATGCATTTAACCTCAAAGTAATCTCATAACACTGATAAGGCAAGTTTCTTAAATTACAGGTAAGTACAGTGTTCTTAAGCAAGAGAAGCTGAGCTCATTTTGGAAACTTTCTCCAAAGACCTGGTCCATTGCAGTTGTGAAACTGGACCTAATGCAAATACCTTTTATCTTCAGCTAACCTACAGGCTGAGGCCAAAGACCTGTCTTGTTTTCTTCTTCACACTTCTTTCCCTAGCTCACACTACACAGCATTAGCTTGCATGTGTGTTAAGAGATTAAAGGAGGGAAGCACAAAGAATATTTGCAGAATATTTCCTGTAGGAAGTCCAGCATGTTCTAAGAAGTCTTTATTTGTATTTTAAAAGCCCATGCAATTAAAGGCAATGCTTCTGGAAATAAAGATCTCAAGAAGGTAGTGCATTATGCAAATGTGTTTGCTAGTTAGCTCTTTTGTTGTTTGTGTTCTGTTTGGGGGGTCCTGTAGAACAGGCCAAGGGTCTGGATCATGTTGTGCACGCAAACTATAGCTGAGCTGTACCCCAGCTACATCAAATTGCCTCTTTATGCATTCATTCTTTTTACAGTTCATATTTTATTCATTTCACTCATCCACTCTCCTAAGATATTGTCATAAACAAAATATTTCATTTTCTATTTCTTTAATAACTTCAGTCTGCTTTCACAATATTGATGAATATTTATAAAGAAGAGTCAGATAAAATGTGCCATTCTATCCACAGTGAGCACTGTATTACTATCTGAGATACTCCCTCATCACTCTGAGCAGAAAAACTGCAACATAGAAAGCAGGCTGATGAGAGACCATTCCTCCCACACTCACAACCCCACAAAGCAAGTGTAATAGATTAGCAGGGAAAATGACATTTGAAAGTAAGTTAGAACAAAACAAAGTTATTATCCCCCCCAGATTGCCATGAAAGCCTTTCATTGGCTGAAACTTGGGACAAGAAAAGTAACAGCAATAGCAAAAACACACCTGTGTGCAAATTCACTGTCAACTGATATAACCATTCAAACACATACAAGGTTGACCACAATTCGACCTGGAGACATTAGTAAATGATACTTCAACTGAGCTTCTGCCACAGGGATGATAAACCTGCCAAGCGGTGAGAGGAGCTGCATTCCTCCAGGGGAAGGTAAAGGGGGAGACCTCTCTTATTTCCTAATATCACACATTTCCCAAACACTAATCCGCATGACCAGAGGTATCAGCTGTTACTCAGATCCGCACTCTGTCACTTAAGAAGGCCATTCTCTTCATTTCAACTCCTACTGCACATTCACAAGGAATGCAAAAGTGCCTATTACACTGCTGAAATGTCATCAGAATCTCAGTAAAAGGAATAAATGCAACTCCATATCCTAGTTATTGACTGGCAACTTCAGGGAATCCAGTTTTGGTTGCTCTGCAGATACTATTTATAAAGAAAAAAATTGCTATCTTAAAGTTAAGGCTGCGGGAGATGTTAATGTTCAGATGAATTTCAACAGAACAAAATATAGTTCTTTAATTTTTACACTTTATTTCATGCACACAATTAGACTCACTAAGATGATATACTGATCCAGCATTGCTGTCCTGCCATCTAAGTAAATGCTGTCTAAGTAAATCCTTTAGAAACAGCATTTGCAAACAAAAACTGCCATGCCATCTTTGACATACACTGAAACACGCTTAAGTGAAGCTAAAGAAAGCAATGTCAAATACAGGATTCAGTGCAAGTAACTGATGAAAAATTGACTGAAAATGTTAAATTCTTAACAATAATCCCCAGAGGCAATTCAACTTTTCAGTAAGTGTAAATCTAGGAAAGGACACAGTCTCTCGGAACATTTTTCTTCAAGTATCAGGATTTCTATAAGGTGGCTGAAAAGGACTGGGGGTGGCTGTGCCGAATTCGATCACATAACTAATGCTACCAAAATGATATGTTTACAAGACAGCAGAGTAAAGCCTCATTCTCCAACAACTGGCTAGACATTCTCAGTCTCCTGAAGTTAACAAGGGATGAACAAAAAGTGTATCTTCCTATTTCCTCAAACCAAGTTCCCAGAGTGTTTTGCATACCGAGCAAAACACATTGTGCAATGCACCGGCATTAAAGTTGAGAGAGTTTCTGTCTGTGAAGTAGATAGTGACTGAGCCAAGGACACACAGGTTCAAGTCCAAGCTGAATATTAGGCGGGTGGCTTGAAAACGTCAATCCAGAAAGGCCTAAGGGAAGGGATACAGGCTTTCACTGTTGCCATCCTTCCTCTCCCCTCCCCTCTTTCTCTCTTGTTCCCTTCCAAGCTTCTCTTTCCTTGCGGTTTCTCATGGAGACGACAATCAAAGCAGAGAAAGCTGGTTTTAAATTAGTGTGATACACACTGGGAATATACAATTCCCAGGAGGAAAAAAAGAAAGGAAGAAACTGAAGAGGGGAGTGGGGGACGGTTGGAAACATATCTAAGTGACAACCTCCCCACCCCCACCCTTTATAGCACATATCCATAGATTGTTCCTGGACCCTATTCCTTCCAGTTCCCAGTACTCTATCCAACTTGACCCTTAATCCTGACAATGTAAAGAACTGCAGGGCATTCTCTGTGCGAGTGTGCCTCTCTTGGTACATGAGACCAATTTACCAGAAGCCCCTGAATCCGGACAGTTGTAGCAGGCAAGGATGCTCCCCACCATCCCACCCACCCGGAAGGGGTGAGGTTAAAGAAGGGTGAAAAGAGATGAAAAGAAGATAGATAAAAGGCATGCAAAGATGAGCTGAAGGGTGAGTGTCTGAAAGAAAAACAGAGAAGAAAGAAAGGGTGGGAAGGAAGTAGGGCTGGGTGAGAGAAGAAAGGGATGAAAGAAAGGCTGGAAGGGAGAAAGGAGCAGAGAGGAGAGAGGGATGTTGGGAAGGATGAGGGCGGGAGGGCTGGGGAGCAGGAGGGAGGGGAGGATGGAGAGGATGGGAGGGAGGCAGGAAGGGAGGGAGGCAGGCAAGGATGGAGGATGCTCTGCCCGGGACTCACCTCTGTGGGTCGGTGGGAGTTTCTCGCCTCCTCCTCCTCGTCCTCTGTCTGCAGCAGCTGGCGTGGAATGACAGAAGTGGCTGGAGAGGCGGCGGTGGGGACTAGGGCAGCTGCTGCAGCTGCTTCTGGCCGAGGT